TTTTTGAACTTTGTAATTAATTATCATTATTTCTTTAATCATTTTTTTAATATCTTTAAACTATATCGATTTTGATTGTTTCTTAAATATATTTCCAATAATACAGTAATGAAATTATCCATATATTTCAAAATTTATGTGCTTTTTATGCATGAATGATTTATGAATGACAATTGTAATACATATTCCATGGCGACAATATACAGTATGATGCATAAAGGATTCCACGTTATTAAAAATTCTGTGCCATCTTAAAAGAGATTTATGAAAACTTGTCCCCAATTGACCGAAAATAAATTGCCATAGCTTCACAGCCCAATGCTATTACTGTACTCTGCCCCTTAAACCAAAATACAACTGATATCAAAATATTGTGTAGTGTCTCGTTACATTTTGTTCATTAGGCCGACCAGCCCTCCTTAAACTAACGTTACATTATCTCACTATATTAATTGGATTAACACATTATCATTATAACACTGGTGTCCTTGGATTCAATTATGGGTAAACGGATTAGTTGCCTTTTTTATGAGGTTTTAATTGTTCTTTACCGCCGAAAGTGCGGTATTCTAATGTTAGTTTAAGGAGGGCTGGTCGGCCTAATGGAATGGAATAAATTAGGCCCTGATGTTCAGTCTTCTACCAATTTAACTATTTTCAAAAACCACATTTGTACTAATAATTAATGAAACCAAAGTTAAATACAGTAGTATGAACATTGTATAAATCCCTATTTTGATGTTTTCTTGCCTTGTTTTATTTATATTTTACATTCCTTTTTGTAATTTTCTGTTTACTTTTATGGAATGGATTTTCTTCTTTTCCATAGCTTATTTTGCCTTTGTTAGGTATAGATTACAGTACTTTTATTTTGTATATATTTTATTTAATTTCTGCATTTAACTTTTGCTTTTTATGATGTACCTTTATGTGTAATTTGTTAATTGTAAATAAGGTATCTGATAGCCATAATGAAAAACAGCATTGTATTTGTTGATTTGTGCTTCGTGAATAAATAAAGTTTTACTACTTTACTACTACTACTACATAAAGACACATTTTTAAGTTCGTTATTAATTGTGGATATAAGGGTATGGTTATTTTCATTAGAATAAAATATATTGGTATCATCTGCAAACAAAATGAAATGTAGTAATTTTGAGATATTTTGAGACATTGGGAGATCATTAACATATATTAAAAAAAGCAGAGTACCTAAAATAGAACCCTGTGGTACTCCACAGCTTATAGAAAATAAATTAGAATCAAATGAATTAATAGAGGTAAATTGTTGTCTATCTGTAAGATAATCTCTTTATTAGTTGTAATGGAAGGCCTCTGACACCATAATTAGATAATAAGGGTAAAATATCATGATCTATGGTGTCAAAGGCCTTTATAAATCCAAGAAAATACCAATTGTGTGATGTTTTTTTGCAAGTAAAGACATTAATTTTCCATACACGTGGAGCACCGCAAGATCTGTACCGTGTGCTTTCCTAGATTTGAGTGTAAAATTTGATACTTGGAAAGAAATGCTAATAATCTGTTATAAATTAATTTTTCAAGAATTTTTGAAAAACAAGGGAGTAGTGCTATAAGTCTATAATTGGTGAATTGGTGGGGATCATTATTTTTTTTTTTTTTAAGTATAATTTTTGCAATTTTTAGGGCATTTGGAAACTTACCAGATTCAAATGAAATATTGAAAATGTGACACAATGGTTTACATATTAATGGAGAAACTTTTTTAATAACACCAGGATGAATATCATCGGTGCCTGGACTTTTGTTAGTTTTTGATAAATCAGTAATGTCAATAATGTCTTTCTGGTATAAGAACACTGGTGTAAGAAATAAGGAAAGAATATTAGGTGAATTAAGAAATGCTGAATAATTAGTGTATGACATATTAATTGAATGAGAAAGTTTATGGCCGATTTCTGAAAAGTATTTATTAAACTCATTATTAATTTTAGACTGGTCTGTGATTTTTACATTATTTTTAATAAAGTAATGTGGAAACTTAGATTTGGTATCTCTGCCGAGCACGGAATTAATTGTTTGCCAATATTATTTTTGTGAATATCAAATTGTTTTTTAAAGTAATTTCTAAAAGATTATGTTACTGTAGTTAGTTTATTTCTGAAATTAGTGCACCCTTTCTTATCAATCTCTTTTCCAGATTTTATATGCTTTTATATAATCGATCATTAATAGAATGAATAATCCCATTGGTTAACCATGGTTTAAATATTGTTTGCGAATATTAGTTCTTTTCTTGCGGAGTTTCACATGCTTATTATATATATTCATAAATTTTGTTTAAAATAAGTAATACATTCTATCAGTATTGTTTGAAGCATTAAGGATTTCAGACCAGTAAGTAACCATAAGTTCAGATGAAATCAACTTGACATGAATGGTTTATCTTTGCAAGAAATACAAAATATCGGTAAATGATCAGTTAGGTCACAGTAGAGTATACCAGATTTGAATTTATGAACAGGAGAGTTACAATATATATGATCAATTAAAGAGGCAGAGTTTTTAGTTATGCGAGTGGGTCTATCTTATAATGGGAAGTAAATTTGATGAAAATAAAGTACTAAGATATAATCAGATGTTAGTTTGTGAGAGTCGGCTTTTAAGAGATCAATATTGATATCCCCACATGTATAAAAAGCCTTTTATTCCTTGTTGACCTCTTCCAACAATAAACAAATAGTCATGCAGTTTAAAATCAGTATTATTGTGAAAAAATTCTCATAGCTTTTAATTCATCTATTGATAATGCCCAAGCAGTTAAGGCAAGGGCACTACAAATACAGCCATAACATCAGCACTGGTTTAAAGGCACGCTCATCTGTGGTTCTGGTGGTGGAACAAGTCTTCTCGGATAAGGACTAAAAAACAGTAGCTCCAGTGTACACATAAAGAACCCAGTACTGTACATCGTTTGAGATGTGTAAGAGTTTACCCCAGTATACTGGCCCATGCAGCCCCTGTTATCCTGCGCTTACGGACCATTTATTAGGTCCATTACAGGATGCACCTATGTAAATGTAAAAGTAACCAGGTATTGATGAGGAAGCACTCTGAGACTAACTTTAAAGATGTAATTTTTTTAAAACAAAAGCTTTTGCTGGCAGTCAATTGCCAACTTCATCAGGTAATACTTAATCCACAAACAATCAAGTATAGTTTAATTTAAAGGAGCTGAAATACTAACAACTTTATGCAAAGTTATCTACAGTATAGAAACAGTATTAATGTGAAAAAAGTAGATGGTAGAGTTCAATTACTAAAGGAGCTGAGAGATTGGCTAACATAAGTATGCAAAATGTAGAACCAGTATCATTGTGTTAAAAAAAAAAAATACCAGTCAGATCAAAGGAGTCCACAGAGTTGCTAACATTAGCAAGATAGTCTCAAGTTATAGTAGTGAAACAAGGAAGAGTATTAAATGGATACATTAAGTTTCACAAGAGTAGTTGTGTCAAGAAAGTATAATACATACTCCAAGTATTGAAATACACGCCATCCTGTTGGGATTCATTAGTTGTGTCATTATGAAACCATAACTAAACTGAAAATACCCACTTACTGTAATGCATACAAAACGACACATTTTTCTCCACACACCAGAAGGTAAGTGAGTGCATACTTTTAAGCCTAAAATATTTTCTAATACTATTTGATTATGTATTTTATCTCCTAATGTCTTTCATGTTAACATCATTTTAATTAGAGGCAGCAAATGTATTTTTTGGTTTAATCCTGAATGATCCCAGCATTATTATGGAGGGTAGATTCAGTGCTATTATCAGTTTGTATCTTTTGTTATCCAACTAAAATCACAACTATAGGAAGTGTTGCAACTTTCTTTGTCTACAATTGTGGTGGTGTAATCAGGGAGATTTAACAGTGCCTGAGCGTCCCCATTCCCACAACATTTTGTTCAAATATGAAAAAAATAGTAAATTAAGGAAAAGAAATGCCACTGCGTTGGAAAATAAAATACCTATTTCTGCTAAAATACATGTAATTGCATCACTTTGCTGGAGCCTGCGATTTCTATACAGCAAGTGAAACATAAAGTACAGTATGTCACTTGCACTTTTAAAAATTAAAAATCCAACACTCTATGACGCCGTCCATTATCAAAAAAGGATCATAAATTACCTTTGTCCTAAATGGAGAACTTACTTAGTTTATTATTCTTTATTGTTATTTATATTTCCAGGAAACAGGAAGTTTGTTAAACATATAATGAAGAAACTGTATGTATATATGCACAGGAAATAACTTAAAATTACAACAAAGAAAATGAGTTTTCTTATAAATTATGACAGAGCTCAAATTTGTAAATCATAATTATCATAATTTCTTCATTTGTGAGGCATGTACTCTTTAGTTACTGTTGTTATTATTGTTTATATTATTAGTTTATGTCAAATACATTTAGGTGTCTTTACTCACATACAAATACACATTAGCTCATTACAGATGAAAATTTAATGAGTGGCATACTGTAGCTAGGTGAGAAGAGGCCCCATTTCAAGATCAATTGTTTTTAAGCCCTTTGATGTGAAGCATCAAATGAGGGTCGTAGTAGAGGAAAGGGTGCTGGGAGCCATCAATATCTCCCTGTAGGGTAGGGAAATCCCTGAAAGATCCGACTAGGTATACCGATGCACGTTTTTTAGAAAATTCATCGTAAGGAGTGCTTCTTTTCTTTCCCCCCCTACTCCTAATGGCCTAAGCACGTAATAAATACTAATGATAATCGGAACCTTCGTAACTATTTCAAGAGAGGCCAAGCAGTCTCAGCAAGTAGTTCTAAACTTATCAAGAACATTGGTGGCAGGTCTTCCTTACCTATCCTCTTCAAGCCAAGAGGCCCATAATGCTGAAATAAACTCTTTCCAACCTGCCCTTTCATTGCAACATGTCTGGCTTCATTCCATGATTTCTACCAAAGACATTCTCTTTCCTTTTTAACAGTCCTCCACTACGTTGGTTTTGGGCGACCAACTCTTCTTTTCCCCTCAGGTTTCCGTGTTAATGCGGTGTAGCAGATATTGTTTTGTTCCATTCGCAATATTGTTCGAGCAATTTCCATCTGCGACACATATTTCTGTATATATTTTCTTTGAACCCGTTTTTTGTAAAATTACTTCATTTCGTACAATATATGGCTATCTGATTTTGAGGATTCTTTTTAAGCACTTGAAATGAAATGTGTCCAGTTTCTTTCATCGCTTTTGTTTACTCTCCAGGTCTGGCATCCATATAGCAGAACTGACTTGACACGTTTGTTAAATAGCCTCAGTTTGGTTCGTAGAAATGTTTGAACTCTAACTTCATGACTACCACCGCCATCACCGCCATAACTGAAAATAGCACCCAGGTAAGAATATTTTTCAACTTTAGCTGCTGTTCTCCAATTTGTAATCTTTAGCTGTTATTACAATTTATCCATAATATTTTTTATCTTTCCTTAATAATTTTGAGCCCAGTTTGTGCTGCAAATTGTGTGTGTCCTGTAGCTCTTATTTGAATTTGCTGGCAGTTTGATGACACAAGTACGATATCATCTGCAAAGTCTAAATCTTCGAGTTTTGATGTGAATCTCAATTTTATACCTGTGTTGCTTTATTCAGTTTATTTCTTTATTATCCAGTCTATTACCATCAGAAAAATAAAACCAGACATTACATCTCCTTCCTTAATCCAGTTTTAACTTTGAACCAGTTGGACTCTTCACTGACATTCAGCACAGCACATTCACTGCCTTTGTATAAAATTTGAACCGTATTCATTATCTTCTTAGGAATTCCATAAGCCTCCATTATTATCTACATGCTATCAGGTAAAAAGAGTCAAACGCTTTCTTAAACAAAATTACAATTCAATTAACTGTAACACATGGGTATAACGGATGTGACAGTGACACCGCTATATGGCTAAATATGCCCCAAATAATTATCAAATCCTATTATGGTTAAAACGAACCCACAGCCAAAATTATATCAATATCTTTATTCATTCCCAAAATACAGGAGCCCAAAAATGTGGACGTGTCTATAGTCTTATACAAACATATATTGGGGTATGTACCAATTTTGAGGAATGCTATACTCCTGGAAATTGGTATTCCATGGATTATTTGGGCATATATTCAGAATCTATGTCAAAATGAAGAGAGTTACCAGATACATAAAAGTTATTGGCACTTTAATTACGCTCATCGTTCAACAAAAATAATCATTTTTACTGTGGTTTTTTTTTAATCAATTGTATCCACTGATACAATTGATTGAAATTTTCTGCTGATTAAAAACGAATGGTACTGGGTAAAGACAACTTGATTTCTTGCTTCACACAAGGTATCCATATGGGGAGTTGATTGGCAGAGCGGTAAGATAGTGGCGCCGCTAGCTACAGCCTTAACATCGGCGCTGGTTCCAGCCGCTCCTCACACATGGTTCGGTTGTTAGAACCAAGTCTTCTCAGATAAGGACTTAAAATGAAGGTCCAGTGTATACATCTGGCTCGTGCATACTTTAAAGAACCCATTGTATCTTTCGGAAGAGTAGGGGGTTACCCCGATGTTATGGGTCATTTCAGCCCCTGTCGTTGTAGAATGATGTGAATATGTATCTACCATAAAGTGCTGAATGTTCAGTACGTTCCTAAATGCTTGTGAAAAAATATTTTAAAGTGATTAAGGTGGGAATCGAAACCACAAACTCCAGAAGCACATAAGGTTGGCAAACATTATTCAAATTATATTTGTTATGAAGAAAAAATGTCATCGGAAAAGCACTGCAGTAACTGCTGCTACTTGGGAATCAGTTTCATCACCAGCCATGTAGCGCAAGCTCGCTGGTCTAGAGGGTAAGGCACTAGGTTAGTTTCTGGAGGTTGTAGGCTCGATTCCCAACCGAATCACTTGCAAGGTTTTTTCGCAGGCATTAGGGAATGTACTCAGCATTCAGTATGACAACACGTCAATCATATTAAACAAGTACATTAAGATTAAGATCACAAAATTATCAGAAAAAATTATGATCTCTGTTGTTATCATTAACACATTGTATATCAATCTTAATGACCTTACTCTTTCTTGTTTACAGTATTTGGATAAGCAAACCCCTGACATCAATAAGGAAATGGATACAGCAATTATTATTATCCAATGCTTCACTATGGTGATAGTTTTACTGATCACTTTCCTTCAAATCCAGATGCTAAAAGTGCTAAATAAAATCCAATACATAGAAACTGCAAAGAATCCTGCCACAACTGGTGAGATCAGTTCACAATATCCTACTGATAGAACAGGGTCAAAAGACCTTGGCAGTAATAGTGAGGAATGGTCACAGAATGATTTTACTACTGGTAGAGGACATGCACAACATTCTGCTAAACTGGGTTGCATGTTGTCACAGAATCCTGCTGCTACTGAAAAGAAGCCTTTACACATTCCTGCCAAAAAAGAAAAAGAAAATCCTGAAACTTGTTCAGATGATGACTCAGATGATAGCTGCTATGTGAATAAAGGACTTGACCCTATGAAAGCCAGAGGAGCACGACAAAAACAATCACAAAAATTCCTCACTGTCAAACCTCAATCTGTGCCAAAACCAATAGTAAACGTGCAGCGCTCACATTCCTCTGTTGGTAAAATTGCGTCTACAAAGAACTCGATGAACTCGCCAGTAAAAGGCAGAGCTACGCCTTTTACAAGATGTCAGACTAAAACTAAAAGTATCTACATTCCACCAGTTGATGAGGAGCCAGAAAGTGAATATGCATATGCTTATGTTGAAAACCAACTACTTTAAAGATGATAAAAATGACGATAACATTAAAGATTGCAGGAGGAAAGCTAAAACTGAAATGATGAATATATCTAATGAATGTTTGGGAGCTTTTTTCAGATGCTCTTAACATAGATGTTTTGCAGGTATTGAAACCAGTCCTCTCTCCAGACTCCTTTCTTTTCAGATTATGAATTATTATGAATTATGAAACAATGAACCCTCTAATTCAAAATTGAAATGATACTGGGTTTGGTCTACAGGAGTTCCATCAGATCATTCCATTCATAAAAGAAGCCTTTTTAATGGAGAATGCATACCTGTCGTTAGCCATAGTAGCCTAGATCTCAACAAACTCTGGCTATATGAAATACTATGTCCATGTTTAAATTAATTGTATATTTAAATGAATCTAGGCCCAGGCCTTTAAGAATAAAAGAATATCTAAAAAAAATCTTTTAACTTTACGAATATGCAATAGTTTTTATTAGGCAGAATATTCTTAAGCCCTGTCTCGACTATCAAATTATATTTGACAAAAACATGTGACATGCCTAAATATGGTCATATTTACATCACATCATGACCATATATAGGTACATCATTACTATATATGGACATGCATACCCACAAAATATGTAAACAAGATGGATATATTAGTATCAATATTATTCAACTGTGCATTACCTGTTTCTGTCTGAGTAATCTTCTTGAGGTTTGGATATGAGATGAGCTTGTTCATTCCATGAGTCCAATTCTGCCTGAATCATATCATTTCTAAGTTGGGTACCTCTCTGGAGTAGATTTGTGATGACGTCTGAGCCAGCCCCATTCCGTGGATCAAGCCTCATAGCTGGATGTTTGTTGCCTGCATCCATGTCTGATACACTGAGTGGAATGTGCCTCCCAGTTGCAGGTTTGTCTGCATCAGTGCCTGATACACTGGACTCCAGATGATCTCCTAAAGTGATAAAAATATGAAGGTATATGAGGATGATATCATATGGTTCTAGGATGGATTATTCCATTATTTATAGGTATTTTCATAATAGGGGCAAATATTGGTTTATCTAATTAGGTGTTCACCTCTTATTAGTTGATAATTATGACACTACTAAGAGGTGAACACCTAACTAGATGAACCAATAGTCACCCCTCTTCTGAATATACCTATGTATAATGGAATAGTCCATTCTTATACAAAGACTTGCAGTACTTTTGCATTTAAATGTTGCAGTCAACACGATATAAGAAGAACATGTCTTTTAAATCCCTGTTTTACACTATCACATTTTATTTCATACTGTTGCATGCCCATACATAGGTATAGTGTGCCTATATATGGTCATGATGTGATGTCATCATGACCATGTTTTTGTCAAATAAAATTTGATAGTCTGGACAGAGCTAAAAATTGCTAAAGAAACAAGCAGTACAAGTTTTAAAATCATATGTTTTTCCAGACCCTATAAATTCCCCTCCCTCTATATCAATTTGAAACTATTTACTTTTCACTTGCCGGGACTTGTATTGAGCAAATTGCTTATCTATTTTAGAAACATCACTGGCTGTATCTTTGTTATTTGATTGGTTATCAGCTGCAAATCCTGGACCAATCACAAAGCTGTAATCACTGTCGATACCTCTTGGAGTGTGCCGAGCAGAGTCTGCTCTAGTTTCAGACACCTAAGGGTTGAATATAATAAAAACAAGCAAAAATTGATGAACTTAGCCAAGACTTGTGTTATGCTTTGCAAATTTATATTTTTAAAGATCATAAGAGAAGGGTGGGAAAAAAACTAAAAAATAAAATTCTGGATTTTCATTTAGCAAATAGTTTTGCCAAAAACATCCAGACGGAAGGAAAATTAAAATAACACTTTATTGGTGAATGTAAACAGTGTAGTATTGGGAAGGTTAAATGCTTTAAATTGATATAATTAGGAAGAAATATACGTATGTATTTGGAGATTTCAAGGCAGCGACGGCCGTAATGAAATTAAAGAAAAACTTAATTTTTCCCTGAAACATTTTTTTTGTATGCTAATTGGCCAAAAATTTTATTTTTATCCGCAATCACCGTTATTGTCTACTTTAACAAATTTTATGTCACAAAAAAAATGTGATGTGCCCATATATGGGTACCATGTGCCCATATATGTGAGGTCTCACCACGAAATGAGACACATCGTTGGTGAAATCATATTGAGATGTTCACCAAAACAGGCCAAAGTCAACATTTCAACAAAATTTTGATTTTAATGTTTTTGAATAACTTGATACTTATATTTTATGATTGTACTTTGTAAGTGAATTTTCTTGCTAAAACAGTGTTTTCTACACATATTCTGTAATTCCAATCATATTATTTGTACAGGTTAGTTTATCTTTGAAGCCGATTTTCTCAAAATGTGGTTCTTATACACCTAAACTTCAAATGCTCACATCTCTGGATTTACTTATAGTAGGGAAGCCATTCAAAGACCAAATGAAAGCTTATAACGTGATCTACCCAACTATAACATAAACTCAATTTTTGAATTTCTAACCATGAGACTCATTTTGTGGACAGACCTCACATATGTGTACCATGTGCCCATATATGGGCACGATGACATCATATCACATATCATTAAATTGTATCAAAAAAAGTTTTCAACTCTATGTTCCTTCAAATTTTATGTGACGCTTTTTTGATGAAATTTGTTAGTGTAGACAAAGCTTTAGTGAAAATAAACTTAACTTGTATCTTGTAATAAAATATAATACACAGCATTCAATGATTGTACCTTGTTTAACTAACAATACATTTTTGATGTATTTTTTTATATTGAACAACAAACTTGATGTCACCACCGAAAGTAAAACAAGCATGACAAGACCCATTCCAAAGAATATTTCACTTCTAAAAATAAATTCAGCTAGATAATATCTGACCTTTGTTTCCTTTTTTGGAGATAAGAAGGGGTCATCGCTTGAAGCCGAGTAGTGAAAATTCCTCGGTTCTGGTTTTGGTACGTTTTTCCTCTTTGAGACTAAGCTGACTTCAGACTGTCTTCTCTCCTCTCTCGGCATCATACTAACATCAGTTGTCGGGATGGAGCTTGAACTTTCATAAGTTGCTAAATTGAGATAAAAATCGCACCAGAATGTTAAATCTATTTGTATAAGTTATTTAACCAGAAAATGAATATTGCATACTTGCAACACTTTTAAGATTGGCTATCCTTTCTTTCATATGTACCCATGTATAAAGGACATATGCAGATATTGGAGTTTAAGTGTTATGATTAAGTGATGCCTTACTTGGAAAAAATGTACAGGTCTTGCTCTAATTAAACACCCTCCAATTAAAGACCACAACAGACAAATGTCTTTTATCTTTATTATCATTGTAGAGACTAAAGTTAAAGAACATTCCGGTCCCAAAAGTGGTCTTTAATTGGAGGGAGACATGTAGGTGTACGGCTAACAAATAATAAAGTACAGGCAAGTTTAAAGTGTAACGTAAAGTCAACATGCTGTGTCATCTTATTTTTAAATTCTTTTTTTTTTGTAAGTTTAGTCAACCTGAACAATGAAGTTCAGAGGTTAAGATGTGTATGTGTGTTAATTTTGAACTTTGAACCTTACCTGGAAGTGGTTCAAATACAAGAGACACCTGAAGCTCTGCAATTTTCTCTGCATTCTTATTGGAAAACACAGTGAAGAACCTATGAAATCAACAATATAACTAATCAATCAGTCAATCATTCTTGTATACAGATATACAGAGAATAGTAGATATCAAGAAAATAGTAA